AGGTTTAAAACTAAGAAAAATGCTACATTTCCTGAAATAGTCTAGCAATTTCCTTTGAAAATAAAAAGGGGGTATATTGCCTGAATGTCCAAGTAAATACAGGTTACGTCAAGACCAAAGGCATAGTTACTATGGCAAAACAAAGCTAAATACCCAGAAAGGGTTTGTGATTTCAAGACCATAAGTGTGACCTTACTCAACTTTCAGTATTATCATAGGCCTCAGCACTAGATATCATATTATATAATATTAATTATAGCTCCAGGCACTCTGACAAACAATTATGAGGATAAGCTTTACCGTCCCTGAGTGTGGTGGCTACTCTGTAATTCCAGAACTTTAATGGTGGATGCAAGAGGATCAGGAAGTCAAGGCCAGTCTCAGTCACATAGCAAATTCAAGGCCAGCCAGGACTGCATGAAAACTGTTTAAAAATAATTAACTAGATAAAAGGATAAGCAGGTATTATTACTTTCAGAAGACAAGTTGGATGAAAAAATAGGAAAGCTGGGATTCAGTGCAAATCCTTCTCTTGGCGCAGGCACTGTCTCTTTGGGTACTTGCGAACTCATCTGCTGTTAAACAATAAAACAATAGCTAACTCTTTAGGAAACGCTGCTGGTGTTTGGTGCTGGTTTGGAAACTTGGTTTCGGAGAGTCCAGTTTTTAATCTTTCTACAAGCTTAGCCTAATTGACAATTATTAATGGGAATATTTATGTACAACATACTTCAATTTTATTGGAAAAATGTGAAGTGTCCCTCCCGACTACCATTTCAGTGTAGCCAATCTCCTCCCCTGGCCTCCATTCTCCTGCAACTTTGTTTCATCTCGCATACCAGCTACTGGGGTAACCACTCAGCATCTTAATTACAAAGACTTTCTATGGTCTCTAGCAAAGCCGTATTATTTAATGAGCCATGGAAATACTGTAAGAGAAATTGGAGACTTATTTTGTTTAGTTTTTAATTAAGCTGTAGTGGTATTGTGTAACATGCTATTCAAACAACGATATTTACCAAGAGTCCTGTGATATTCTAAGCTGTTTATACTAAGGCAGTACCTTCTACTATGGACATTCTGGATGTCGACAAGAATGATGCCATTGTTTAAGAAAAAAAGAGACAATAGCTCACATTTCAACATGCCAGATAAGACATGAAACAGCTAAGAATTTGGAGCTCATGTGTGAACTCTCAACTAGATAATCTATCCATGAAGGGTGATTGCTCAGAATTAAATGCAGAAGAATCAGTTTAACTGCTCAGCGTGTGCGTAAACTTGATCCTCTGAGTTAATGAGTTCGTGACATTTATCAGTAGCTGACGGAGGGAGAAAACCACCTCAATGCTTAATTCTAAATCAGGTTTTCACTAATTAAACTGAAGATATATTTGGTTTTAAAAATATGTGTTTCTCTGAAAGCATTTATGAGATTTTGATTTTGTGGATTTTATGCTTCTAACAAGAATTATAGAACCCTCATACCAGAAGAGCTCTGGAAGATTAAGTCAAATATATTATTTCATAATGTGTTATAAACAAAAGGGATATAATTAAAATCAGCAAGCTCCACTGTGGTGTGGCAGAGATAATGACTGTGTGTCACCAAGTTGCAAAGGAAATGCATGAGCATGCAAGCCACCATATCTGCATATAATTAAGAAATGTAAGTCAAGCAGAATTAGAGGGTGCAGCATTAGATCCCGACAGCAAAGCACAGGCCTCTGCTACAGCTCTCAGGACCAACCTATGGCTTCTATCAGTTAGTCCCATTACATCTAATGAGCTTTTCAAAATCCATACATATACATTATTAAAACAGTCATAGGCCTCTTTTGGTATTGTGCATGTTTCATTAAAAATGATGATAGAGTGAGACAAAGAAGATCTTAGTTCTTTACATTGACTAATGATAGGTTAACTTGTCTCAAAATGTCATGTTGAACAGCTCGATTTCAAAGAGTATCTTACCAAAGAGGTTATTTATGGATAATTCAACCTGGGAATTACTCTTACAGCAATGTGTTAATTTAGGAAAAGTTTTATTTTGCTTGTATACTCTTTGGAAACCTTAAATATTTATTAGTTACTCCTTAATTCTTTTATGTTTATTTTATTTTATGTGCATGTCTGTGCACCACGTTTGTGCCTGATGCTTGTGAAGGACAGAAGAGGGCACCAGATGTCCTGGGCATGAAGTTACAGATGTTTGGGAGCTAGCTACCCTGTGGGCACCAAGCCCGTTACTAGTTACTTTTTTAGAGTATTTTTATTCAGAAAGTTACAAGTTATGAAAAACTTAAATATATTTTCTAAAATCTGAACCATGAATATCCTGTGCAGTGCTCCTTCCAGACTCTCTGGGATTGCAACTATATGGTTCTTTGTGTTCAACTCTAGAGTTTAGATTTTGGTGGGTTTGAAGAGAGGCTCACTTGAGAGAGCATAGCTCATTCCACAGCTCCTGCCCAGAGGCTCTGAGCATCCCATCATTTCAAGGGCTGAACAAAACAGAAACGGTTCTTCCCATGCCCTGACTTTCCGCAGAAATATGAGTTCTTAATGACTTTATCTTCAAAGAAGTGAATTCAAAAATCTAAGTTCCAGATATAAACTTATATCAATGATGTAGAAGAACTTAGCCTAAAAATATTTAAAAACAGTGTTATCAGATACTACAACTTGTTGGGTAAATGTAAAATGTGTGCCTACATGTATGTGTGCATTTTCTTATTAAGCAAATGTCCTAAGGGAAGCCACAATGACTGTGTATTAACAAATTGTATTACATTTACTATTGCTTTAAGTAGATATTACTGATGGTCATGATACTCAGAATTCTGAAATTAGCCAGGAGCAGGACACTTGGGCATTGTTTCAGTTTGTTTCCTATTGCTGTGATAAAACACCATAACCAAAGCAACTTGGAGAGAAAAGGGTTTATCGCAGCTTGTACTTGCAGTCCGTCATGAATGGGAGTCAGAAACTGCAACAGAAGCCAGGGGAGAATGCTGTTTACTGGCTTTCTCCCACTGGCTTGCTCAGCCTGCTTTCTTATACAGGACAGCACCACCTGCCAGGGTTGGCACTCCCCCCGCCCAGTGGGCTGCCCCTCCCCCATGTCAGTCATTATTCAAGATAATAGCCTACAGACTTGCCTACAGGCCAATCTGATGGAGGTGTTTTCTCGATTGAGCTTCCTCTTCCCAGAAAACTCTAGCTTGTGTCAAGGACACAAGAAATGTACCAACACGAGCATATATCATTTTACCAGTGCCCTTCTTGAAAGCTTCACTTATACAACTTATTTATAGCAGGTAATGAATAAATGTGAAGTTGTATTCAATTTCACAGAGGTTTTCTTAGGAAAAGTGCCAAGGGGTATGGGTATGTCTCATTGTTACAGTAGCAATAACTGTGATTTCCAATGACATGTGTGCCCACTGAGAAGCCCACCATTCTCCAAAAGATGGTTCCAAATCCATGATCACAAAAATGATCCTGGGTAAAGTCAGTGGACCTCAGAAAGCAAAAATAATGTTTGAAATGGAATTGTAGGGAGAAAAAGGGTTAATAGGGTGAGCAGCAAACTAGAGTACGTGGGATTGTAGTGACAAGAATGAACTATATGTGTGCATGAAACTGTCAAAGAAAAATTCAATACAAGTTTTTAGAAACTCATTTTAATAAGTGATTTCTTGCTGTTCATATTAACAAGGATGTATTGACTACTTCGGAATACTGTCTTTTCTCCTTAATTGAACTCCATGTGGTTTCATTGTGTGAAGGTAACAACTATCTGATTCCAAATGCTTCTGAGGGAGCCCAGGTCAGTGAGCTCCAAGATGAACAACCTGTAGATGTGTGTGGCTATGGAAGAAAACCATTGACGGCTGTTGCGTGTGCTCTGGACTTGGTACAGTTGGTCCTAGGAATTCTTCCCAGTACAAGAGAAGAATTACGTCCAATGAGAAAAGAGACCAAGAGCATTTAAATTGGAATCTGGCTGAGCAAACATTATTGATTGTAATGTACATCATTATATATACACAAGCTTTTCTTTCCCACTTCCCTGGTCCAAGAAGAATTCTTTCTTATTCTCCTTTTTAATACTATAGAAATAAATTCTGCTTCAAATTTCTCATAGTATATAAAAGTTGTGTAAAATACATATCAGCAATTAATAGCTTTTCATCCCAACAGGTAATGTACAGCAGCAAGTTTATTGTTTATGTGTATATCAATTTTGTTTTAAATATATGCTGGGATGCAAAGGCAGGATTGAATGTAGAATTAGGAAGACAGGCACAGAGCCTGGAAAATGATTTTTTAACAGTTTTTTTTTTCTATTAACAGCACTTTACTTGAAAATATTCCCATTCAGCAGCAGATTTTGAGGTTTGGTGCAGTGAAGGGGAAATTTGTTCCTCTGACACATTTATTCTTTTAATCGTTATTCATTTGTCAAACTCGCACTGAGTGCCTCTGTATTTGCAGTGGCAGAAAGATTGATTTTGACAGTTGTTTCTAATGCTTATTCATTTAACTAGATTCTCATGCAGTGGCATTCTGGGTATGTTTTCCTTAAACTGAAGATCCCTGAGATACTGCAGGTGTGGACCTGTGGATTTTTCTAGAGCCTTTGCAGACCCTGGCATGACAAAATATATATAACAGTGGCAGAGAGGAGAAGAGGGAGTCATTTGAAGTGTGAAATTTACCTAACCATTAGTTAATACCCTTGGCTGTGGTATTATGAATTATATATATTATATGTGTGTGTGTGTGTGTGTGTGTGTGTGTGTGTGTAATCAAGTTGTCCCAGAGAGCAATGTATCTACCATGTATTTTGCCTCAATATTTGATGTGAAGATTCTCACTTAAAGCAACTGTTTGACTCATTTTAGAATTCTGCCAAATCTAAGTAGGGTGATAACAGGTCAAGGAAATTCCACTTGTATATATTCTCCTCAGCCTCCATGCGTTTTTCCCCACAGTTCCAAAGACAGCTCCCAGCAATGTGAGTGGAAGGAGTGGAAGAAGGCACGAATTGGTTATCGCCTGGGAGGTAAAAACAATTTCTTCACAAGTATCACAACAGGTTGTTTTCTTGGAAACTAAGGCTGTACACAGAGACTCTGCCCTGGTAAAAGATGGGATGTTTCTGTTTGAATGAAGAAATAGTCTGAGGATCTGCTCCTCAGATGAATGTGGCCTAGGAAAATCCTCTTCATCCTCACCCCAGATCCCAGATGACCTTTGCTAAGTCCTTGGTGTGCTGGCTGTCGCACAGGCTCTCTCAGAATGAAGGCTGACTCTTCAAGCATGTCCCTTGTAAATCACTACGGGCACTTAGATTACTAGTGCAGTGTTAGTTCTTTCTGAAGCAAGTAGCCACTTGGACTTCACTGGAAATCGAATCCATGAGAGAGAAAGGACACCACCACACTGAGTACTTGGTCCCTGGTCTATCTCAACTCACAACACAATCCTGCTGTGAGTGAAGTTTCCTAATTCTATAGCCTGAAACTAAGTTAATGCTCTGTCAGCTTCCCTGACAATTAGAACTGGGATCAGAATTCCGAGTTTGTGTTACATTACAGAGCTCATCATACAATCTCCAAATCCTTTTGCTAATAAAAACAATGAGGATGGAATAAGTGTGAAAGATTCACTTTTCCATGAAGCTAATTTTCTTCTTGCCATTATATAACTAATTACAAAATGTAGCTATGCAGCTAATGAACTCCATCCTAACCATGAAAAATTGGTCATGTTTGTTGAAGAAATAAAACAGTCTTAGAAAGCAGTGAAAATATGTGGATAAGCAGGAAGCTTCCATCAACACATTTTCTGTCATATTTTTCTATCCATTCCTTTCATAAATAAAACTTTATGCCTTGTGTTAATATTTCTGTAGAAGGATTTATTTCCCCACATCTGACCCCCATTGACCCTCCTATGACCTTGACTTAATAATAGACTTTGTCTCTTCCTCCACTCAGTACACAGTTTTTCTTTAAATCAGATTTCAAGCTTTAAAAATTAACACATAATTCCTGGATATCTGCAAGGCATTGTATACTCTACTAGTGAGTGGCTAGTGGCTTCCCTCCATTGCTTTGTCCATTTAGTTACTTCTGTCTATAACATGCGTTTGAAACCTTTAAAGAAATCTAAATGTAAGCCATGTATTTCATGAGAAGTTTTTAAAAATATGTAATTGTCCAGAGTGGATTTGTTTGTTTTTGCACATTAAGAAAACAGACACAAAAGAAAAGAACACTGGAAAATAGGTCATGAATTCATCTCTCTTTGATTTGATCTACTGAGTGCTCTGCAGAGCATTATCTAGAGATGACAGACTCACAACTCCACATTATGACAATTGTCCCTAGCATGCTCTATTCTATGATAGAGTCCAAGGATCGGCAGTTCATATACATGACTAACTGGAGAAAACTTGTTTCACTTCAACAGTTTTCAATACTCTGGTGTGTCTCCTTGGATACCAACTGATATAATTCCACTTTTTATCTTGTACCTTTAAAGCCAATGCACACATGCTATCTTAGCTTCCAGCATATTAAAAAGTTCTGAAACTCTTTGCTGTAGTTCACCGTAACTTTTGTAAAACTAAGTATTAAGAGGAAGTGTTTCTCAGCAAGTTGTTACACTGATTGTTAACTGTACTATCCTTCTTTAGCCGGTGTCAGAAGAGTTTCAAAATGGGGAAGGCTTTGGCTACATCGTGGCATTCAGACCTAATGGAACACGTGGCTGGAAGGAGAAGATGGTAACGTCTTCTGAGGCTTCAAAGTTCATTTACCGAGATGAAAGTGTCCCCCCGCTCACACCCTTTGAAGTCAAAGTTGGTGTTTATAATAATAAAGGTGACGGACCCTTCAGTCAGATTGTGGTCATCTGTTCAGCTGAGGGAGGTCAGTGTCTTTACCCTGTGTCTTTTGCATTTCAATGTTTTGGTTTGGTTTTCTAATGAGGCGTTGTGAGAATGTTTTAGAAAATATTGGTATGCCAGTGGTTGAAAATATCACTCATAATCCCATTATAGTTGTTAGATAGTTTATGAAACTTTTCCCAAAGTCATCTGTCTTAAAACAGTCTGCATACGTTGATTTGTGTTTTTTGTTCACTAATAATGTATAACCAACATGTTTCCACTAAGTGGATAATTTCAGTAATCTATAAACTGTGTTCTTTTCTCTGGATATTTTAATATCTCTCTCTCTCTCTCTCTCTCTCTCTCTCTCTCTCTCTCTCTCTCTGTGTGTGTGTGTGTGTGTGTGTGTGTGTGTGTGTTGAACCTAACTGAAGATTCCATTGACGTAACTAATAAACAATTATGTCTAACCAATGTGTAAACCACTACTGATAAAGAAGTCTCCAGCACAGCTTTCTGTTAGAAATTTGTCCCCACACCTTGAAATCCTTGTCACATTCTTGGACAAATGTCACTAAAGAGAAAGAGAAATGGAGGAGCAGAGGAACAAAGGAGCCTGTCAAAGCTTAGGCATCTTATGAAAGAATGAATTGCACAGCTCTCCATAAAACCCTTGATCTTTCACGTGGTCATCACATGCATGAACTCATTTTAGTCTTATGCACCTAGATGGGGTAACATCTAGTAAGTAAGTGTGCTCATTTCACAGGAGAATAAACTGAAAACCAGCCACTCTATAGGTACTGTGGCTAAACCATAAACCCAGCTTCTGCTGTCAAGATCCTGAGTCTCCAATAAGCTTAAATACAAAAGCGCAATTTTTCTAAGAGAAAGTAGGATACATCTTAGCTTTCTCCCTTACTTTCTCTTTTCAAGTGTGGGATTTCAATGGGCCCAGCAAATAAAAGATAATGATGATGATGATGATGATGATAATAATAATAATAATGCAGAATATATTGCACAAAGGCAGCAGCTGTTTGACCTTTTAAACGAGCAAGGTCAATATTGAGTCTTGTGCTTCTTTCAAGCCCACATGTGTGGCTTGAATACCTCAAGAGAGTTATTAATATTTTTTGTGCTATGAGCTTCATGGGAAGAAATAAATAAGGTCATTTGAATGTAGACGAACAAAGGCAGTGCTTGATTTATGTAAGATACACTTTCTGACAAAAGCTGTCATGCCTCTTTGTAATACAGAGCCAAACTCTGAAGCTGGAGCAAAATTTTATCCTAGTAGAAGAGCAGCTAGGAAGGTGAAGAACCAAGTCATGAACTATAGGAGTCCCGCTAAGATATCCATGCACTTAGCATCTCGAGTTGTGTTGGAGAGAGCCCTGCCATGCATGCCTCCTCGCGCGCGTGTGTGTGTGTGTGTGTGTGTGTGTGTGTGTGTGTGTGTGTGTGTGTGTGTGTGAGAGAGAGAGAGAGAGAGAGAGAGAGAGAGAGAGAGAGACTTGCCTAATTTAAAAAAAGTAAGAGGTCATAATTTCAAGCCCAGTCTTGAGGAGCCTCAGAACCAGGCCCAGATGCATATTACTAGACATCAGGCTTGTGAAGTAAAGAGGGTAAGTGGTACAGCTGGGCTTTTCACCACAGTATAGGAATAAAAGCATATGCACTGGGACAGCGGAAATGGATCCCTTTTTGAAGAATGCATCCCGCTTTTGCAGAGGGCCCACAACCACATGTAGTCCAGCTTGAGCTCCAAGGGATCCGATGCCCTCTTCTGGTCTCTCAGTCACTGAACTCAAGTACATATACACCTACACAGCAGCTTACAAATAATTTTTTAAAAAAAATCTTCTTTTTGAGCACATGCTTTGCCCTGTACTATCTCACTGGGAATACACACAGTAAATATGACATGTATGATTTCTCACTCCTAAAAGCTATTTGGTAGTACATATTTTACCAGAAAGTGCATATCATTGTTGTTTTAAATTTGCTTCAAACTGACTACCAAGCAAGCACATGGCAGTAGAGCTCACCTCTCTCTCTCTCTCTCTCTCTCTCTCTCTCTCTCTCTCTCTCTCTCTCTTTCTCTCTCTTTCTGTCTCTCTTTTCACATTTTTGGACTGTGAGCCCTTAAACTTGAAATGGTTTGCCTTTGGATTTTTCTCTTTCAAGTTAGACAGGAAACATGCATATTTCCTTTCAAAGACATTGAGGTTGTTACTACAAAATATTTCATTGTAACACTTCATTTGTCAATGAAAATATGAAAGATACCAGTCAACAGTATGTACAGCTTTCCTTTGTTCTAACAGAGAGAAACAGAGAGAGAGAGAGAGAGAGAGAGAGAGAGAGAGAGAGAGAATTTTATCACTAATTCAGTTTACAAAGTTGGAATTTTTGTGAAGCTTAAGGGTTTGCATCATTAAATCACATCAGTTAGAAAACAGAACAGAGGAACGAAGGAACCATCTCCCTTCACCTGCACTACAATGCAGTCACTCTTAGTGTGATCATAAGTAGATTATCTGAAATCTAAATTTCTCTTCCTTGACAGTGAAGGTTTTGAATTAGAACAGTTCCAGAATGCTCATAATGCAGAAATTAAAATTCCACCTCCTTGTTCTATATTCTGAAGTACTCTTTAATTTTTCCAAAGAGACAATAACAACAGGCCAACTTTTGCTATGTAAGCAAAAGGGGAAATTTCGTTCTCTTTTAGCCACTTGGCAAATGCCTTTGTTTGAACAGGAGTGACCATTTCAAAGATGTAATGCTACCACTCAAGACTTTAGACCAAGAGAATCATGAATTCAGTGCCAGCCTAGGCTATGCAGTGAGACTATCAAAAGCAAAACCCATCCATAAGTGCTGTGTTCATTCCTCAAACCCATAATCCTTTTTTGCTTCCTTCTCAAGAAAGCCTACAGAAATGTGGGTGAGAATTACATTGTTGAAAGCAAAATGTTGCCCATATTTGACCTATTAAAGGGGGTCACTTCTATTGATATTATCTAAATCATTTGAGGTTTGAATTGACTCTCACATTTCTGAGATTAGCTGTTTTTCTCAAGTACTATCAGGAATGTTCCAGGTGGTTCTTCTAATAACACCCTTGAGCCTTTGGAAATTTTCAGTGTTTATGCAGCAGAAGCAGCAAGGCTCTGATGTGCCAAGTGGCCACTGATGTGTACCTGGAAAAAAACTTGTCTGCTGGGATTTCCACAGGTGCTTCATAGGTAAATCACACTTCCAACCTTTATGCCAAGGAAGAATTTTGTATCACTAACCCTAGTTCCACTATTGATCTTTAGGGTATGATTCACCCTTATTTTGGAACCAAACCCATCTTTTTAAAAGAATTCCAAAGTTCTGATGTTGATATTAAAATGCATAGTAAAGTTGGGTGAAGTTGGACATGCCTATAATCCCAGCACTGGGGGAGCTAAGGCAGGAGGATTGACAGTGGGAGGCCAGCCTGGACTCTTAAGTTAATGGCAGGCTGACGAGATGACTCAGCTGTTAGGAGCATGCACTGCTCTTGCAGAGAGAGGACCAGTTTTGTTCCTCAGCACCCACATCAAACCCCTGAGAACGTCATTCACTCCAGCTCCAGATGGTCTAATGCCCTCTGCTGGCCTCCAGGGTACTGCACTTGTGTGCACAAACCCACACTCAGAAATTCCTGTATACTCAAAGTCTTAAAAGGTTTTAAATTAAAAATAATAACAAATTACATCCAAAATCTTAGTAAAAATGTTTTTTAAAGTGATTTCTTCCCAAGATAAAAAACATTAAATCAATGATTCATGCTCAATTTTGTATTTCTAGAAAAACTTCATAGTTCAACTCATATCTGTTTGCTCTCAGCTTCTCATTACTCTAACTTTGGGTAAGAAGAACCAGAGCATTCAATTACATCCATCAGGAAAGCAGAAAAAATTCCATAGCCATTAATCACAGATTGGAAGATTTGTTTATTTGTAATGTTCTACAGATTTTTCTAGCATTTGGGGCTTCTGTCTCTTCAGGTGAATTGCATGGCTCTTGTTGTTATTAAATTGAAGTTGCTCCTCATCTGAAGAAACTAGTTTGCAGTTGTCCCTTGAAAACAGGGCAATCAGCACTCAAATTAAAGCCCAGCGCTCACAAGGTGGCATTCTCCAGATCGGCTCTTGGCTGAAACTGAGCTCAGTGGGATTTATGTGAAGTCAGAAATTTATAAATTGGCATATTAGTTATAAAATATAAGGAATAATCGCCCGTCTGTGCTGTGTGATCCATATGGATTAGTGACTATAAAAGTTCAATGGTGCTGTCTTCACCGAATTTTTAACTAATGAAACCATAACCCTTCTCCCACAGTTTATTAGACTCCTCTTTGATTAATGCTGCTGCTACCCATCCTGGGAAGTCAGATGTATAATCAATATTACAAGCACATCCCCCCCCCCCAAATCACTAGGAGGACTCCAGCTGCTGGGTCACTTAACACAGATGTATCATCTAAATTCATGAGCATAGTAATTCTGTTCTAAATTTTAATCTAACTGTTACTGAAATCTATCAATCAATGTATCCACTATGTATCCCCAGATTGGAGTGGAGGAGCTATCCACAGCCCACATCACACCCTAAGCAAGAGGAGAGTTTTTCAAATCTCTACCTAATAGACAGAGCCTAGCATATTTGCCAAAATAAGATTCTGAACTTTAATCAACTTACCTAAGTGCAAAGTCAAGAGTAGGAGTTGGGTTTTGTTTGTTTGTTAGTTTAATCCTGTGATATACAAGGTCAGGAGAGTTTGAACACGCTCAAACATGACATGGCCTATGAGGAGCCCCGTACAACTTGGTCCAAAGTTACCCAGAATCCCATGCAATAGGAATGAAGACCATAGCTGATAAGCCTGTGATGGAGTTTAGTAGGCAGTCCCTGGGTTTCTGTAGATTCTGACAACACCTAGAAGTGGAAGGCTTGAGTAAGAAGCCCAATACTAAACCTTGAAAAAGGTTAGTAGTTAAA